ATATATACACCAGTACAGAATCTTAGATGATTTTTAAACTGAAGGTTCTGATTGAACGCAGAGAGCCTCTCCTCTCTCCCTCCCAGGGGCTCTTGCCAGATTTGCAATATGGAGAAGGTCAGTCTATCAGCAAGGGAGCCATTGCGCTACTTGGGAATGAGGCTGTTTGAACAGCTATCCTGGTTTCCATGGAAACAGTGCTGCGGGGATGAGCCGGTGGGGTCAGCTTCCACTTTGCTGGGAGAAAAGACTGCCAGCTTCTCTGAAAATGCTCAGTTCCAGCCTCTGATGGAGGTGGTAGGCTTTTCCCAGCAAGGTTCCCGAGGAGGCCAGGGAGCTGACCCTAGACATCCCCCAGGTGGGAGGAAAGACAAATAGGGCCAGGGATTTTCCCAGAAATGGAGGAGGCTGGTCTCCAGAACACCAGGTAAAAACCTGTGGAGGCAGCTAGAGCTGAGCCACCATTTTCAGAGCCCACTCTCTTGGAGACACCAACCTTTCCGAGGCCCCCAGATGGCCTAATGCCAAGGTCAGGCTTCCTGCTTCCTCCAGCCTCTCACTGCTCATGCCCAGGGGCTGGCTGGTCTGCCTCGGGTACTTTCCTTCACTGTTCTCTTTGACAGGTTCCCCGCAACTCTTCTCACCAGTGACCATGTGCCCCAAGGTTTACACAGGATCATTTTATACATTTTATATTCTACATTTCTTTCTTCTCCGTGCCTCAGACTTACTGATAAAATGTCAGTGTCAAACTCAGATGATTTTTCTATTCTTTCACCATTAGTGCAGAGGACAGAATGTGCAGTATAGGTATCTACCATAAAAAAATCTCACCTACTATAACAATTGCAAAAAATAATAGAAAACAAACAATCCCTTCCTGGTCTCTCTCTTTCTCTCTGTGGTCAGGAATAGAAACATAGGAACCATCTTCTAGGGGCTGAGCCAGGGAAGTAGCTTATTAGCTTGTGGAAACAGCACAAGACTCCCCTCTTACCTTCTTGAGGTCTTCCCTACAGCTGTGGCCAAGCCTAACACCTCTGTCCCAAACGCTCCCGATGGAATATCAGACCCTCTAGTCTCGGGCCTGAAGGCACTGACCTCTAGAATCAGAAAACCATGCAGGAAGAAAAGTTCTGTTCTTCATAACACTCCACATCAAAGTCTGCACATGGGGTCCTCTGAAATGCCCTTGACCTCCTGCCCACCTATAAATACTTGGCAATCCCGAAATGCTGCTCTTCAGTCCTGCAGCCTTGCTCTTTCCTTAGCTTCTCCACCGCCCCCCACCCGCGAAGACCATTTTAGAAACCATCCCACTGAGAGGCTGCTGGGGCCCAGAGTGCAGGCACCAAGAGCGAGTCAAAGACAGATACCATTTCCTTATTACGTGTCTCTCAAGCAATATGACCCATGGCTGGGAGGCCAGCATCTGACCCAAGCCCACACCAACTACGGTCTCAGCTGAAGGGAAAAGACACTACTGTTTTAATTTTTTATTGAAGTGAATCTACACCAAATTCATTGTCTGGAACAGAACCAACCCTGGTACCTCCTGAAATCCTGAGGACAGAACTAACTTTGTGGGGCGGTGGGCGGTGGGGGGGACTTAACAGAGGTTCCAAAATGAAGAGTGGTTTTCCTCCTCTGTGAAATTCATTAACTTTATTTTAAGGCATGAATCTGATGGGCTTCTAGAATAGTTGAGAGGATGAAAGAGTTATTAAAAATGGGGGCTTTTCGCAAAAGTGGTCCCGCTGGAGAAACTCCCAGCTTCTGCCAACGGATGGTCTAGGGTGCCCCCCTCTCCAGGACTGCAGGGCCCGACTCGGCTCCCCTGCTCAGAATGCCAGGCAGGGAAAATGCTCCAGGCTCCCTGAAGTGGTTCTTGACCCAGGGGTTTCTGTGAGATCTCTTCCTTGGTTGATCCGGCTGGCCACCAAGAATTTGGACGCTGTGAAAATCCCTGAGAAGTTGGGTTTTATGAAAAATAAATGACCCTTGGCACAGAAGGTGAGAGGAGGAGGGGAAAGAAGAGAAGCAAATTGAAGGAAACAAGAATCAACGGGGAGAGAGAGGGTAGCGCTCGGCCGCTGGACACACGAGGTGACAGCTCTCACCAGGGAGACACTTGAGGGGCGATTTCATGAGTCTCCGAGAAAAAGCTCAGGCGGCCTGGTTTGCCTTCCTCCCAGGCTTTAGCTCCTGTCCAGGATGTCAGGAAGGCCCCGCCTCAGAAGGCCGTCCTCTCCCGGCTGAAGCCGCTGCAGGGGCCTAGAGCTTCTTCCTCTCAAAGTGTGGCACGATTCCGCTGTCCTCGGGCCTTGGGCTGCCTGCCCCCTCGGTCTCCTTGAGGCCCTCCTCGGCCAGCTGGGACAAGTACTTCTGCAGCGGAAGACAGGGAAGGGAAGGGAGAGGGTTAGCGGTGACCTGGCCAGAAAGGAAATGAGAGAAAAGGGAGATATCTGAGCCTCTTCTCCTATCTCGTCTCCCAGTGGGTGGGACCCCCTCCCTACCCTCCCCAGATCCTTCTGAGGCTACCGGACCCATGCTAAGCTCCCCCACCCCAACTCTTTGTGTTAGTTTACAAGTAATGCATGATTCTTGCAGAAGACATCTAAAACACAGATCCTAACAACAGCAAACAATTCCAAAGCCCTTATCCAGTGCGAGCACTGCTGTTTTTCTTATAGAAACTCATTTAGGGGCGCCTGGGTCTCTCCGTCGGTTAAGCGTCCGACTCTTGATTTCAGCTCAGGTCATGATCTCACGGTTCGTGAGATCGAGCTCCGTGTCAGGCTCTGCACTGACAGCATGGGGCCTGCTTGGGATTTTTTTCTTTCTCTCTCTTGCTCTCTGTGTCACCCCTGCTCACACTCACGTGCTCTCTCTCTCTCTCTCAAAATAAATAAATAAACATAAAAGAACCCACACCTCATTGAATTACAAAGACTACTTGTTTTCCAGGACAGCTTCAGCACCCAGGGGCTGTGTGTATGACAGGTGGAGGGAGAAGAAGCCCGCTAGACCAACGGGCCTCCGGGAGGAGAGAAGCAATGACCTTGGATTGTCCAAGGATTGTGAAAGACACACTGCAGCCTCTCCTAACAACCTGTCTCCTGGTGGGCGGGTGGGCAGGCCGAGTGCCCTGGAGGTCCTTTGCTGGATTCCTGTTCTATAGTCGGAGCTGCTCACACGGCCCCCCAAACACTCACCACTATCACTGGCCCCCAGCCAAACGTCAGGCCACGCTTGGGATTCTAGATTCCACACAGTGAGACACAAGTAGAAAGGCCTAGGGCCCCAGCTGGGTCCTCTGACTGCCAGGGCAGCAGGGGGCAGTGCAAAGAGCACTGGGTGAGGAGTCAGCAGGGTTTGATCCAGCGCAGTGGTCAAGTGTGTGGGCTCTGCCATCAGATGACCTGGGTTCAAATCCTAGCTCTCAGCAGGCAAGTGACCCAAGGTCTCTGACATCTGTAAAGTGTGGGTAGTAACAGTATCTACCACGTAAGGTTGCTACGAGGTCCAGGGAAAGTACCGTAAAGCACTTAGCATAGTGCATGGCACAGAATAAATGCTCTGTAATGTTGCCCTTTATCATGAGTTGCATCAGGCATCTGATTCTGGGTAAGTCCCTCATCTGCTCTCAGCTCTGCTAACCTGGTCAGTGGGAGAAACAGTGCCTTCCCTCCTCTCAGGGTGATTCTGAGGGTCAGATGAGGGGATGTGCGTAAGACCACCTGCTCTCTCTAGAACAGACTGGTTGGCTCTGAGAGGTGGGTGAGCCCGATGGCAAGGGCGGCAGACAGACCAAGGGTCCCTGTGGGCCAGGCTGCTGATGGAGGCCTGGTTTGCCCTCCACCTCATCTCAGGAAGGCAAGTGGGTGATGCACTGCTTGTGAGCTCTGGACCTGCAACCAGGCAGGCACCTAGCTTATCTTTCTCTCTCTCTCTCTCTCTCTCTCTCTCTCTCTCTTTTATTTTTTTGAGAGAGAGAGAGAAAGAGAGAGAGAGAGAATATCCCAAGTAGGCTCCACATTCGGCACGGAGCCCTACTTGGGGCTCAATCCCATGACCCTGGGATCATGACCCAAGCCAAAATCAAGACTTGGACGCTCAACTGACCGAGCCACCTAGGCACCCCTAGTTTTCCTCTCAAGCACTTGACCGCACCTGTTGTTCCAGGCCACTCGGGGTGGGTTATCTCAGGGCTGTGACCAGCGGTGGGGGCACAGCAGTAGCTGTGAGAGAATGCACAGAGAGAATGGAGGCTGCCTCCTACCTCAAAGAGTAATCCTTCACCCCCACCTCAAGGCCTCCTGGTGCTGCTAAGTTTACAAGTTGCCTGACTCAGGTGTGAGCAGCACTGCTGCTCGGGTCTCAATTCTTCACTTTTCCCACGTGTAACTCGGGGTAGTGTGGGGTGGGCAAGGCTGTGTGGACAAGAGACATTCTGTCAAGGCCATTGACAGAAACTTTATCTGGGAAGCCTGCGGTGGAGGCTCCCAGCTCCCCAACAGGTGTACCAGGGAAACCTGATCTGCAGTTGGCAGGCCTAAAAGGCTTAGCCCATGTCTGGTCCTGACGTGCCTGGGGACCGCAGGAATGGCTCTGGCCTGCTGTGGGGAAGTAAGGTGGCCTGGGGGGTTGGCCCATAGGCCCGGAACATAGTATAGTCCACTGCCCTGGAAAAGAATCCAGGATTTAGAACCAGAGGCCTTGGCAAGCCTATACTTATCCTAACTTCCTGAATGACCTTGAGCTGTGTGGCCTCCTTGAGAGCTACATAATCTAGCTGAGAATGCCACATGAGATCAAAAGTTCTCAAGTCGAGGTATGAGAACTTTCTGGAAAGATTTTTTAAATGAGTATTCTCAGGGCCAGCCCTGGAAAGAATGAATAAGCAGGAGTAGGGTGGGTCCAGGAAGCTGCATTTTTAAAAGATGCTAGCTGGTATGGGGACCATAGTTTGGGAAAATCAGGACCAGATGATTTCCAAGACCCCATTCAGCCCTGCCATTCTATAGATTTTATCTTGTTGGAGTGGAAGAGGAGGATGTCTTCAGAGTAGATGGCTGCCCTCAACTGGCCCTGTGGAGCCCAGTCTGAATCCTTGGTCTGGCCAAGTCAGGCCTTCACCGAGCTCCCCCAGGAGAGGGCAGGATTTGGGCCCCAGGCTCCATAGCTTCCTTGTCCACAGAGCAGCTGCTCCCAGAGGGAAATCAAGAGGTTTAAATGACATGAGTTTGGGCACGGCCAATGACAGATGGTGACACAGGCTATGCTATTATGGGCCTCGGTTTGCAAGATCAGCTTAATAGAGTAAAAAAAAGGAAAGTGATTAACAATCAGGCAACCTGGGGGCACCTCGGTGGCTCAGTCGGGTAAATGTTTGACTTGGGCTCAGGTCATGATCTTGAGGTTTGTGAGTTCGAGCCCCACATTGAGCCCTGTGCTGATTACATGGAGCCTGCTTGGGATTCTCTCCCTCCCTCTCTCTCTGCCTCTTACCTGCTCTCTCTCAATATAAATAAATAAACTTAAAAAAGAAAAAAAAGGGGGCGCCTGGGTGGCTCAGTCGGTTGAGAGTCCGACTTTGGCTCAGGTCATGATCTCACAGTTCGTGAGTTCGAGCCCCGCATCGGGTTCTATGCTGACAGCTCGGAGCCTGGAGCCTGCTTCAGATTCTGTGTCTCCCTCTCTCTGCTCCTTCCCCACTCATGCTCTGTCTCTGTCTCCCAAAAATGAATAAACGTTAAAAAAATTAAAAAAAAAAAAAAGAATCAGGCAATCTGTTCCCAAGCCTAGTAACTCACCATCTGCATGGCTTTGGATAAATCACATAGCTTCTCCGGGTCTCAGTTTCCCTTAGCCATAAAACAAAAGAGTTGACCCATATCTGCATTTCTTAACTAGGAATGCACATTAGACTCATATGGAGAACTTTCTGAAATTATGTATTCCTGGACCCCTGCCCCCAAATTCTACCAAGTATCTAACCTAGTATATATATACTTTCAAAACACTGTCCAGGTGATTCTATTTCACATCTCTGGCTAAGAAATGCTAGATCAGCTCCTCCACAATTTAATTGTGACAGTAATGCCTGCTCAGGAATTAGGGCATGCTGCCACCATGAGGGTCTGTCCTAGTTGAGGCCTCCTGTGTCAAAACACCAGTCTGACTCCTTGTAGTAAAAACATGAGGTGCCATGAACTATTTCTCCCGGGCATCTGATATGCCATGCTTTCTATTAAGTTACTAAACCCCAGCTGTTCCAACACACTACATATTAGGGGTATTAGTTATAGAACATATTCCTGTAATTCTCTGATTTTAAGATGAGGGTTTTTTCCCCACATATTCACATCTCTGAAATTGAGATGTATTTTACAATTGATGGAGTCTCACCATTGCAACATTTTTTTTTTCTTGTTGGTCTCCGAGAAATGGGAGCGTGTCTTACAACCGACAGCACCTTACACTGGATGAAATCTGGTATGTAGAGTATTTTTACTATGTCCCCTGTTACTATACTTTAACTCTTATTTTAGTTAGCGCTTATCTCCTACACTAGAATGGAAGCCCCAGGAGGGCAGGGATTTTTGTCTGATTTGTTGTCATCGTCGCTGTTGTATCTCCAGTGCCTAGAGCAGCGTCTGTACCTAGTATGCCTGCAATTAAGAGCTGCAGGATAGATTTAAATAGGACAAAACAGTGATTTTTATTCTAGCAAACAGGGATACTGCATGGGGGAACAGAAACCTAGAGAAATCTCTGCCTCTGGAACATCCAAGTCTTGTGAACAGGACTCAGCCTCACCCATGGGCCAGGTGATGGCTAGCTTGAATTACTCAGGCCAGAGAGAGAGAGGCAGATACCCCCAAATCCAGGCCCGAACAGAATGTCTTGTGAATACTCCAGGAGAGACAGATGCCCCGAGAGCTCAGGGGAGGCAGCCACCACGCGCAGCAGCCTGGCGGAGTCAAGCCTGAGGAAAGAGCAGTTCTCCATGTGGTGGAAGGAAATGGAAACTCCCAGACACAGAGACCAGGGAGTCCCCGGTTGCTCGGCAAGGAAGGCGCTGGTTACCTGTAAGTTCCTGTAGTGAACAGCACTGCGACAGTGGCTTATCTTCGCCATCTCCTCGCTGGTGTAGAACAGCCCACACAGCTTGCAGTAAAACCCAGTCCTGGGCACCACGAACTCCACCCCTGCAGAAGGACAGGGGATGATGGACAGGCAGGGGTTAGGAAGGCGACGTGAGACCCCTGTGGCCTTGCCAGCCGTCAGTGGAAACGGGAGCAGCGAGCTCCGTCCCTCGCTTGCCGTGGACTCTGGCTGGCTGGCCAGCTTCTCCAAGCCTAGTTTCCCCATCTGCAGAGCAGGCATGAGGAAAACAGTGCCGACTCCGTTCACAGGGGGTTGAAGGAAGGGATGAACTCCCTCAAGCGTGCTGGAATGCTCAGCGACTCTACGCTCTGCGGCTGCCTCTGCAGACCGAAGCCCTCCGACCATCAGCCTGCTTGCAGGGAGAGGAGGAGGAAGGAGGTTTCTCGCATTTCACTGCTTGGCTTTCATTTCTCCATGCTGTACCCCTCTCTGTAGCTGCTGTGGCCAGGACTCTGAAAGAATGCTCTCATTTTTGTTTGTTTTAGAATTATATTCATTAAAGAAAATTTTAAAAACACACAGAAGTGAGGAAAAATCACTCAGTCCTTCAATCAAAATATTTTCTTTTGGTGGGGGGTGCGGGGGGGCCGTTTTAACTGTGCCCTAAATGCAATTCTGTCTCCTCCCTTTTCCACGTAACAGTTATGTAAAATCATAAACATTTTCCCACCCTTCTCCAGTCTTTACCTCTGAGCCATTAACCAACAGCATTTTATTTGGGATTTGCTAAACAGAGGTCACAGGATTCTGGGAGGCCTTTTGATTTAAAGGAAAGAAAAAAGTGGCCCAATAGCCAGGGAAGTTAAGTGGCAGTGTCCCAGCCCAGAGGATTCACCTGAAAGAGAGGGCAGGAACTCCAGCCTTCACCACAGTGTTCTGAGGGCCACGGTTCTCCTCCCTCTCTCTCTCTCTTTCTTTTTTTAAATTACTAGCCCCCTTGCTGAGTTTATTTTTTTACTTTTTAAAAAGTGTTTATTTATTTTTGAGAGAGGGAGAGAGAGAGCGTGAGCAGGGGAAGGGCAGAGGGAGAGGGAGACAGAGGATCCAAAGCAGGCTCTAGGCTGACAGCAGAGAGCCTGATGGAGGGATGGACCCCGCGAACCGTGGGATCATGACCTGAGCCGAAGTCGGACACTCAACTGACTGAGCCG